AAAGGTGCTTTGGCTTTATCATTAGATTTTCCCGCTCTTTGACATGGATTGCAAGTTTTAACATATTCTTCTATTTTTTTTATAGCAATTAGGCCAGTGAAAGTATCTTGTTAATGTATCTTTAGTTTTGACAATGCCTAACTGTCCAGATGTGCTATTATGACATAATGATTCTATTTGATCCCTATGTTTTTCAGGAATAACAATTAATTACTTTCCATTTTTTATCTATTTTCCTTTTTACCAACAACCAGTTTTCTTTTTTTCTTTTACTTTGAAATCATTCGTCTTGCTGGAATTTTCATTTTTAGTTTCACTAAGCAGTAAAGCTAGATCTCTGCTTTGATGTTGAGATTCAGTTAATTCCTGACAATTAACATTAATTACTTTTATAATTTCCTTGTCTTCCTCGTTAGCTTGCAGTAAAATATCTTTGTCAGTCTCAATTAAATGTTAGTTCTTCCATATTCTCTATTTCGGTGTTTCTACTTCGATCTTCTTCATGAGATCTTTTTACTTGAGATCATGTCAAAACTGCATTTATCCTTTCTAAATTTAAGAATGTTTATTTTTGAACAATTGGGTTGTTTTGTTACCCAATACATGTCTGCCAGGATCATTTGTAACAACAGCTGCCTTTGTCTTTATATGACCAAGTTCACAATTAATTTCAACTTCAGCTAACTGTAGACACACTAGAAGGTCAGATCATTTAATAAATATTGTACACCCAAACATGTTATCCAGTCATTTTTGCATTATCTAAGTATTTTCGAGAAATAATATCTACTGTGTCTCCCTGTCCATCGAAGAATAGGCCATTTCATACCCATTAACTAAAACCATTAATTGTATATGTCTCTAACAAATCATCATTTGGAAAATACGCAATTTATACTTTTTCGTTTTTGGTTTTAAGCAAGGGCATTGAGGCTTAAAATGTTCGTATGACCTGTACTCGAAACAACATGGTCAATATCTTTTGTCATATAAATTTTCAGTACTATTCCGTTTTGCGGACCGTAAAAAAATTGCAACAAAAATGTATGCGCAAAAGCGCCAAATCTAGCAAATGTGCCTATTTAACAGCGCGCCAAATCTAGCGTACGCGCTGATTTCAGATTGCGTAAGTTTATATAAGTTTATATAGTTCTATATTTCTTAAGATGCCATTGAAATACTAGTTTAATTTTTAAATCTTTTTTGATATCCTATGGATTTATCAACTTGGGAATTGCCCATGACGAAAAGTCTGCAATAGAATTTTGAGTAAAGTGCAGAATCATCCACTGCTTGACGCGTTTTTAAGAATTGTGCATGCTCGGTATCCATGTACACATCGACCTAATTTCACTTAAAAAAAAAAATCCCGAATTACACAAAAAGGGCACTGCGCACACCCTTGACTTTATCTATGTACACATCGACCTGTTCTCACTTAAAAAGTAAAAGAACATTGACAAAAATCCAATTGTTTTTATCCTTGTAAAAAGCGGCAAACAAATAAGTGGGCGATTCTGCACTTTACCGAGAATTTTTTCAAAGAAAAGGCATCATTCATTATAGAAAATTATGTTTGAACAACCAACGAGATGAAATTATGCTTTAGCAATAACTCGGTGGTGAAATAGCGATGCAGGCATCCATTCAGTTATGTTTAGCAATTTTTATATAAATTATAAAAATGATCTGAAATAGTTATTTACTCTTATGCTTCCATTAAGTCATGTTTTAGCCTTTTTTATATAAATTATAAAATATAAAAAAGTATTATACGAAATGAACATTTCATCTAAACTAAAACATCAATCTTAGATAATTATTTATTATTATACTTCCTTTCTTGCATTAGGGTTGCCACAATTATTTTTGGCAGCACTGGCATCAACAATAGTCTGGCGATTTTTTACGGCCCTCAAAACCGAATAGTACTATATTTTCTTGGTTCTTGTTTTGGAACCAATTACTTTGTAGGACATCTTCTATTTGTCAGTGATCTTTCTCGTATTTTGAATCATCCCATTTATCAGAATGCTTAAAATGAAGCGGATGCTCTATTTTTTTCACAAAATTTTAATAATGAGGTTTAAATGTTCCTTTGTTAATTCTCTCAGTTAGTTTGCCAGGAAATTTCGGTTTTATTGTTTTTCTCACGTCTTCAAAATCTTCAATTTTCTTAACCATCTCAGGTGAAATGATGGTAGTCCATTCATCCTTAAAATGTTCATCGAAATCAGGAGAAGTACGCTTTCTAATTTGATCAACCAGCATGAAATCAGGAGAAGTAGGCTTTTTGATCTTTTAGCTGTTCAAAAGTTTTAATTTTTAATTCGTTAAGCCATCCTTTTAAATAATTCTTTAATTCATAATCAAAATCATACCAAGTACTTTCAGTAGATTTTTGGTGTTTATTAAATAGTTGTCAAAATTTTCCACACTTAAGTTAAATCATTGTAACAGTAAAGTTTTTATCATATTCATACTTTTTTGCATCGTTTTCAGTTTCTCTAGCAATAAGTTAAACAATATCAGGAAGCAGCAATGAAATAAGTTGAGTCACTTGATTTTCAGCAGGTATATTCATAATTTTAGGTTGACGCTCAAACAACACCAGAAATAAACTTATTTCATCTTCTTTAGGATTAAGACGTGGCATGACATCGGGAATTCTGATTTTTAAAGGTTTCTCAGGTAATTGCGTAGTTTCTACCGGCTGTGTTCTTGTAGCCATAGCTTCCAATTGAAGTTTCTGTAGCTCTAATTTGTTCTTCTGTTTCATGTTCTTCTTTTCTTTCTCTTTCTTCTGTTTCATGTTCTTCTTTTCATTCTCTTTCTCCTCTTTTGTTTTCTTTTTTCCTTTCTTCTCTTTTGCATTCTTCTTTTCTTTCTCCTCTAATTGCAGCCAATAGTTCTTGAGTAAATTCCTCATCATAACCGGGACTTTTAGTAATAAATTTATGCAACAAAGCAAGTCTTAATTTAGGTCCCACGGTTAAACCTAACTCGTCTGCCAGTACTTCTAAATCTTGTTTCCTACTCCTAGCTAAGAATGACATGTTGAACAAGTTACCTTTAATAGGCTTTTCTTTAAAATTGAATCTTTAAAATCATACTTGTATTAAAAATATATAACTTTTGGCGAGACTTGTCAAATATGAAATTCACTCTAGGAGAGAATTATTTAAACAACTTTGCAGCTTGGAACAAAATAAAATAATACTACACCAGGTTGACGTTTTAACACACTATTCACAAGCCTTGTTGGCGATAACTACATAAACACCTTTGCCAGTTAGGCAATACAATGGAATTTTACCCATGTGAGTTTGACGATTTTACTATCTCCATGCTTGGTTGGTGATTACAAAAACAATTAGCAGTTTGGCAATATAATTTAGTTAATCTTATCTTCGGAGATCAGCAATATTCTGTTCTGACAATTCTTTGCTCGAACATTAAGTTATGGAAACATGGATGATAACCTTTGAATGATCTGCTTCAAAAACTGTCTTTAAAACAAAATAAATAAATAAAAATTGAAATAAAAAAGCTCGGCACTAGCAAACTTGTTCTCAAAATTTCAGCAACTTTCTGGAATTAGGAGACTAGCACCTGTGAAATTGATAATTGCACTCCTAAATTTCCAGTATCTCGGTGGAACCACCAAAAAAGACTGTAACATATTTTGCAGTTTTGATTGAAATAATCAATAAGCTTCTTAGTAAAACATAAAGTTTTATTCCCTATTCAAAAGGATAGGTAATTTAACTACAGTTTTATTCATTACAGCTTCACACTCCTTACTACAGTACAAAATTCAAGATCCGGACTCCTCGGGAGTTCAGGAATTCCGGATTTGGGATTTTTCCAGGTATTAGATCATCAGTTTAAATCTAGTAAGATGGCAGGTAGAAATTATAAAATTAAAAATATGAAATCGTGATTTATGAATTAATGAAGCATTTATTATCTAAAGGGTATCAAACTTTATAAAAAAAAAAGCTTAATATTTGTTTGTTTACTTTATTAAACATTACTCTCAATGGAGGATGTTTAAGTTGCGTCGTTTTTTGTGCTAATACCATCTCTTTAATTCTACAGACAAGCATAATTTCTTGTTCAGTTACAAAGTTCCACTGTTCAAGTCCTGTAATTGCTATGTCAAGCATTCTGACTAAGTTGTCAATAGAAATGTTTTCTTTCATAAATAACCTCTCTGTCACTTTCTTCACTATTGGTAGCAGTATTATCTGGATCTATAACCATACTACAGATTTATTTGCTATATAATTATTTGTTAAGTAATAAAATATAATGTAATTTCTTAAATAATAAAATATAATATACTTATTTGTTAAATAAAGAAATATTACAGTGATAAAATAATTAACTTTCAGATATGAGCCATGAAAAATGATACTGTGCCATTATGAAGTCTCTGCAATTGATTCTTTATGATCTTCAGTTTTCTAAATTTGTATTAAACAGGTCAAATATTGAAAATTAGAAATTCCATGCAATTTAGATGTCTAGAAATTACTCTTTTATGCAATAAATAACTAGCACATAATAAATAAATGCAGAAAAATGTCATCATTTAATGGGAAATCTTCATGTATTTCTAGTTTTCTGAATTTGTTACATATGTCTAAATATTGAAAATTAGCTTTCCATGCAATTCTGATGTTAAAAAATTACTGCATTTTATATAATAAATAATTAACATATAACAAATAAATACAGCAAGGCTTCATCTTTAAATAGGAAACCTGCATGTATATCTTGAAGTTATTGCATACTGTATAATTTGACAGATGAAGAATTTATCCATCATATGATTTTAAAGGTGTGAATTGAAATATCTGTAGTTCATCAAATTCTTTTAAAATTTTTATGAAGTGGTAGTTAAAATTTCTTTTGAAAAAGTGAAAATACTATGTTATGTTTTATGTAATGTATTTAAATTTGAATAATACATTAAAATAGTGTTTTTAATTTAGGTATGATGTGAAGGAAGATGGTGATTTCAAATTTTGTTTTGATAATCGACACAGCCATTTTTCAAAGAAAACAATATATTTTGAAGTGTATGTTGATTCTGATTCTGAGGATTACACTGACCGGTGGAATGATTATGATTTTTCACCAGAATTGCTTTATAATGACACAGTGGATCAAATAAAAGTAAGCCTAGTTTGTATATAATGAATGATATATTTTTATGTTAACAACAGTGTGTCTTTATATTATTTGATTACTTTTTATTTTATACAGTCAAAAGTCATTAATTCGGACACCCATAATCCGGAATGATCTATAATCCAGACCTATAATCCAGAAAGCTAAAAACTTTCTGCGCATGCGTCGTGTTCACGCATGCGCGTAAGACCTTTACGGCTGCGAATATGCTTGTGCGCGTTTATGTATAACGGAAGGTATAAGCTAAGCTAAAATTATCTAATTATCTATTTCAGTTAATGTTGCAGATTGCGTTGTTCCTTAATCTTCGAATTGGATCCGGCTTATTATTTTTTGCAGACTGTTAGAGCAGTTTTATAAAAGTAAGCTTGAACTTTCGATTATGTCAAATAGAATTTCTGATATATATTTACTAATATGTAAAGGATCTATAAAGCAAAAGTATATTTTGAAGTTCATTAAACAAAAAGTGGAATTGCTGCAAAAAATGGATAAAGACATATCCTTTGTTTATCTAAACTTAAACATTTGTTTATCTTTAATGCGGCGGTGGGCACACAATGAATTGAAAGTTGATCGGTCAGCACTATCCTTATCTTCAGGGCAGATGTTTTTATTTTATTTGGCTTATAATTCCTTACTAAATGTAGTATTTCATCTCGATGTACTCCGTCTTTGATATGATTTAAATCAAATTCCTTGTCATTATAATTTGCTTCCGATAGTGAAGAAAGTGACAGAGGTTATTGAAAACGAAAATATTTTGATTGACAAATTAGTCGGTAGACACAGCAATTATAGGACTTGAACAGCGGAACTTTGTAACTGAACAAGAAATTATGTCTGTTTATAGAATTAAAGAGAATGTATTATCACGTAAAAAACGAAGCAACTTAAACAACTTACATTGAAAGAAATGTTTAATAAAATAAACAAATAAATATTAAGCTTTTTTTTTGTAAATTTTTGATACCCTTTAGATCATAATTGTTCTTTATTTCATAAATTACGGTTTCATATTTTTAATTTTATAATTTCTGCATGCCATCTTACCAGATTTAAACTGATGATCTATAATCCGGAAAAATCGATAATCCGGAATCGCCGAAGTCCCGACGAGTCCAGATTAACGACTTTTGACTGTAATTTGAAAAATTATCATTTGTGTTACAACCAAAGTGGGTATCGATTAAGAAATTAATATATTGAGTAAAATTGTTAAATGTAAGATAAATGGACTATGACGAAAATTATTGTGTCACATTATGATACATAATATTGACACATTATGATACACTAGACTGTACTTTAACTCTGAAGGAAAAGCAATCCTTTATTGGATTCCATGACACGCCCAAGGTTTTCGTTTCAGTTAGATCGGAGAAATTGTATTCTTCCCGGTTTAGAGAAAGTTCCGAATGATTCGCGCACCATTTATGCAACTGCATGCCTGCTCTTTGCAAAATTGATATAAGCTGCTGTTGTAACTCCTTAGCCTCTTTTAACGTCAAAGCTCCGCATAACACATCATCCATATAGAAATTTTCACGTAACACAGGTGCTGCCAAAGGAAAATTATTCTCTTAGTCTAATGAAAGCTGTTTTAGTGTCCTCATTGCTAAGAAGGGAGCACTGACCGTACCATACGTAACAGTTACCAGCTCATAGGTCTTTGGAGGCTCATTAGCACTATTACTTCATAGGATTCTTTGAAGGCTGGTTGACTTTCATCTATCAAAATCATCCTATACATTTTTTTCATATCAGCCGTTAAGGCATATACGGGAATTCGAAATCCAATCATTATCAAAAATAAATCTTTTTGTATAACTCCACTGTTATACTAGAGAGAGTTGAATGAAATACCGTTAGTTGTTAAACTTGAACAGTTAAACACAACTCTTAATTTAGTACTAGTTTTTTCTGGTTTATATATTCCATGATGTGTTGCATAATATGCCCCTTCAGGCTCTTTCTCTTCTTTAACTTCCTTCGTATGTCCTAGTTGAATGTACTCATGAATGAAGTCGTGACATAGAGAGAGATAATTTGGATCTCTCGACAAGCGAGTCCACAGTGACCTGAGTTTTTTAAGAGCAATGTCCCTAGACTGACCTAAATACGAAGGATCATCTTTAAGGGGCATTTTTACTACGTATCTACCTTCCTCATTTCTCCAGTGCATTCGCACAAAATGTTCCTCACATCTAGAATTTTCTTTACTTTTCCTTAATTCTAAATCTACATTTTCAATTTCCCAAAACCCTTTTAAAGTTTTATTTAAATCTTCTTTGCGTATCAATCCGCAATGCATCTTAGACTCATTTCCCTGATCTACACTCCTACTGGTGATATAGCCAAACACTGTATTTTGTAAAAGCATTTTTGAATTTTGTGCATAAATCTGTCCCGGTCTCAATAATTCATAAAATATCTCTGCACCTAACAATATATCAATGTTCCCTGGAATATTAAAACTGTAATCAGCTAATGGTACTAAGTCTGAAACCTCAATATTTACATTAAGTACCTGATGTGGTATAAGATCTGTAATTTTTTTTACTACAAGCAAATTTATCTCTTTCTCAAAATTCCTATTTTTATTTGCGATTGTTGTCGTAACGCAACCCTTCACTACCATTGGCGAACCATTTAAACACAAGATTAATGTATATATTTTTTCGCTTTTTAATCCTAAGCGCTTCATACATTGTTCACTTAATAAACATGTCTGAGAGCCTGAGTCCAATATACATCTCACCTCTTCCCACTGCGAACAGTTATTTTTAATTAATGCTCAAACTGTACTCAGTAGAACATTCTTTGCGGTAGCTTTCACAAAACTAGAGGCTACGACAGATTTATTCACGTTTGACTCATGCGTGGGGGGAAAACTGCACCTTCACCAATTTAATTTTTGGTCTGTGGTTCAAGGGCATTCGATGAAGTCTTGCAATCGTGCTTATTTTTATTTTGTCTTCAAAAATGAATTAATTTATTATGTGGTTTGCCACGGAAGCAATCTCTCGTTGAGCAATTTCTTGCACTACATTCAGGGGACAAACATTTGAAACATGCCTTTTTCATTTTAACAACTTCTACTCTTTCAGAAACCGAAAGTTTTTTAAATTGCAGACAAAAGTTTAAACTGTGGACTTCATTATTTTTACACAAATTACATTTAACACCTTTTTTTTTTTTCCCGATAAAAACACATTCGAGACCTTTTTTTGAAAACGCGAGTTCTGAAACTTTTGCTGTTTGTGACCTTCATGCCGTTTAATTTTGTTTCCGTTAGAAGGTTTCTTAAATACATTATATTCACTTTTACCTTTACCCTTTGAAGTTAAATAAATGTTGCACTCTCGTCCTAGCTGTTGTGGGTTAAAATACGATTCTCCTTGTTTAATTGCAATATGTGTCATCAATTCGCGATCAAGTAAACTGAATATTTTATCTGATACAATTAATTCACATAATGATTTAAAATCACTCACTTGACGTAGCTGACAATAATACTGAAATGTAGTACTTAATCTTGAAGCAAATTGTACATAACCCTCTGAATGTAATTTTTGCGGTCTTTGAAAGCTGTTTAAACACTCTTATGGCGTTGGTTGAAATTCCTTCAGCACTATTGTCTTAAGCTTATCATAACTGCGCAAGTCTTCCTCAGTCAAATAAAACATTAAATTATTCGCTCTCTCACCCAGAATATTTAAAAGAATTTCTAATTTTTGCTCATCGGGTTTTAATTTTAAACGCTTTCTCAAGGGACTGGAAAAAAAGATTAAGTGTCTCTACTCTCGTAGGCACTGGGATACACAACGTTTTAATACTTTTAATTAAAGTTTCTATACTGTCCTTTGACGTTTCTACTGTCAAACATGACATATTCTGTAACAACTCCTTTCGCATATTCGCGATTTCAAGTTCTTTCTCCAATTGCGCTAGTTTGATTTTCTCTAACTCTAGCTTTGTTTCGTTTTCGAGTTTGTGTAACGCAATTTTTGACTCGGCTTCGGCTTTATGTTTTTCTCTTCCTCAAGTGCATAATCTACTACGCTTTTAACTAACTCAGGATCGGTTTTGAAAACCTTACTATTATCTATCAAATTTTTTAAATCAACAATTTTCGTGTCTTCCGCAAAGGTTAGACCTAACTCTGCAGCGACCAGCTTTAACTCGTCTTTCCTTAATTTAGCAATTAAAGACATCCTTTAACTATAAGTAAAGCTAAATAAGGTAATTGCTCTTACCTCAAATCACTGGGATCGCTCATTCGCTAAATGGACTCGATGGAAATCACCGTCATTCAGACGCACTTCATAATCCAACAATTTTTCACATCATCCACAGGCCTCTGGCTTCTTCATGACGGACCATGTTAAAGGATACTCTTACACAAAATAATCACATTTACTCTTTTACAGCTATAACTGTGTATTCATAACTTCGTTCGCATATCATTCACATAGCGGTTCTCCGCCATTCTCTTCATCTCCTCTCTGCCGCTCCCCGCTCGAGGGCGCTGCTGCTACTAGAGCATGTGCAAACATATATATATATATCAGTTTTGAATAATAAAATTGCTAGATTAATGACATACATAAAATGGATACATAATCAATCTATCAAATATTGGATTTGTACCGCAACTTAAACAAGTTTTTTCTTGTCTGGATAAATATTAAAAAATCTTCTTAGATAGCAGAATGGTTTTAACTTTCAAATTTGCCATTTTAGGTAAACACTTCTAATTTAATAAAAAAAAATTCTCTTTATTAAATCTAAAAATTGAATTTCTTAAGTGGTTCTAAATTCACACTTATATTATTGCAATACATGCCATATTAAGCTTTCCATTTTTAGTCATTGAAGTTATTTTAAGGTTATTTAACTTTCTTACAAATTCCATATTTTAATACTAGAAACGTTTAAATATTTATTCTTTTCTCCAGTTACTCTACCTGATGTACTTTGGCATACATTTAATTTCTAATACACATTTTAAATTAATAAATTGATAATTCTGAGCATCTGCAGAATTTTCATAATTAACAAAAAAAAAAAAAAAAAAAAAAAAAAAAATTTGAACTCACTTATATTAATATCTTTTGATTTTCAGTTCCCTTTTAATCCATTCCTTTTTTCACATATTGTTGTACTATATTCAAGTTTTCATGTATGTAGAATTTATATATTTTATATTGTATTTATGCCAATTTATATTTAAATGATAATTTTTACAAATTCTTGCACCATAACTCTAGTTAACAGAAGATGTTTTTAACACCGTGGTAAAGCTTAAACTTCAGCATGCAGCTTATTTTCTAACATAGTTTCAGACTGAATTATTTGTAAAATTAATTATTTGTTAACAAAGATGGTCACTAAATCACGCTAATAATATTTGTAACTGTTGTAATTTATAATGCAACGAGTTCATGTGATTTATAATATAATTCATTTATAATTTTTTCAGCAGTATTGAATTTAATAGTAGATACTGATAATGTTATACATTTAGATAACAATGATTTAGATTGCCATTGCCTTCTTCACTGATGCTTTTATGCTACATTCCTAATATTTCATAATGGCATACAGATAAGTTTAACTCATTCACCAAACATGTAAATCTCTAATTTAGCCCACTTTTGTTCTTATCTGTGCTGTATCTTCTATTTTCCTTAATATATTGTTCAGCCTAATTTCAAAAGGTCTTACGATCAAGCGGAAAAGTCACTAAACATTAGTAGTTCGTCCCAAGTTTCTAATCCCAGAAATCTGCCAGCTCTTTCTTTTTTTGTACTTATTTACTGCATAAAAATGTATCTTAAAAATTTCAGTTCATGAAGTTAAAATACTTTTTTAATTTGTTCTTTAAAAATATTGAAAAAATTTTCACCTTGGCATATCGTTTTACAAATCCCTGTAATAAGAAAAAATAAGGAAGGAAGTTAACTCGTTTTCAGTGATTGATTCCTCGGTGCAAATTATATGTAACTTTTTCCAAAAGCATAGAGTTTATATGGATATCAATAAATTAAGGATTATTTCTCCATCTAATTTTCTTAACATGTTTATTCCAGAATTTTCTTTTCACACAGTAGTGCTTAATTTTATGAGTTTTCTATAATCATTCAATTTCTTTAGCCATGGCAACTTTGCTTACCTTCTGACAAGTAGTTATATTTTTAACCACTGTATTTTAATTCCTGTTGACTATCAGTACATTATTCACTTGTTTCACAAGTGCAAATATTTTTTTTATACACAAATCTTCGTAAAATAGCAATTTATCTAATTCTTTTCTTTTAGATAAATTTTAGAAAAAACTTCTTAGCATAATAATTTAAATTTATTTACAATTTATATGTCAGTGTTCCAAAAACACAGTAATGTTGTTATAATAGATTTCATGCTAAGCTTTTTTTAAATTTAACTATTGATTTCTGCAAACATTTATGTGATTACTTTAATTAACAAAAAATATTTATAGTACACTTTAACACACTTTAATAATCTTTTGCACGGCAGTGAACTCTATTAAATTTTCCAGTCTAGATCAGACATCTTGACTATTATTGATGTAATTTATAAAAAATATAATTGGTATGCTTTATAATTATTTAATTTATGATATTATTATAATAAATGTTTGTAATGCTAATATGTATGTTTACCAATACCTTTTATTTTCTTTGTTAGCTCTTGCATTTATTACTGTTATTCAAGTTATTAGCCTACTTTTGTTAGATATTTTTTACTTGTTCTTGTGATATGTAATTCTGTTTCTTTATTTTTATTTTCCTCTTGGCTACAATTGGCTCCAAAAAGTTAAATTGTAACCCTGTAGGCAACAAGGGGAAGAAATTTTGATTCGTGCAGTTAAACTATAGCAGGACTCGAGGGGGGGGATTTTCATTCGCACAGTTGGAGTACACCCCAGTTTAGTAAGTAGCTCTAGGATATTTGTGAATGCATTACTGTTCAGTAAAACTGCAGTATCACGGACGGTCTGTCAGAGATTCAGCAGACACATTGTTTACCACATGAAATACAAATGAATACACTTCATATGTCTGTTGAAAGTAGTCCTAACAATTATAAAAAAGGAGTAGAAGCATAATCCCTATCAGTACATAAGCAAAAATGCATATAAATATGGTTAAGCACAAACAAGACATAAAACTGTTGATGAACTTTGAAAGAGAAAGAATTAATGGGTTGAAAGAAGATAGTTTCTCAGACTGTGAGCTCATTTAATAGTGTTGAGTGAAATACCAGGATACACATTTTTGTAATAATTTTGCAAAGATTTATGTATAAACAAACCGTAGAATTTTACTTTCTAATATGTTCAGTCTGATAGTCCTTTTGTTGAACTATCATATTACATCTTGATTTCCAAGATAAAAGTAACTAAAGTAACTAGTAAGTATTCTTAAAACATCAAGGTTGATTTTATTCCACTCCGGCCTTCACAATCTTCCAAAGTCCATCCAATGTTTTGGGATGTCATTTATAAAGAGCTTGTTTTAGAAATTCATATGCACAGTAATCCATAGGAGACACATCAGGGGACTTGAGTGGGATGGAAGTAAAGGGAATAGCTTCAATTCCATTTTCATTTCTCATTTTTTCAAGAAATAGAGCAGTAGATTTAGAGGTATGGCTTGGAGCCTTGTCCTTATAGAACTTAACACAGTGAAGATTATTTGGATAAAGAGATGGAATATCTTCTTTAAAAATATGTATTATGTAAAACATATTTCTGATATGTAAAACATATTTCTGATAGTAATCCAAATTAATTTTCGTATTTTTTTCTACTTTCCTTATTTTAAGTTTTCCATTATAAGATAATCCAGTAATAACCATACAACCTTTAGAAAAACTCGTTTTCTCTGAACCAATGTATTATGTCTTTTTCTCCTCTTTTTCTGTAGTAAATCAATTTTTTTCTATTGCAATCAGATAAGTATATCCAAGCCACATCAATGTAACTATATATTTTCATTTTTCATCTGCTAAATAATTTTCATACTGCAATCTGAACATAGCGTTACACTAAGAAACATGTTTCGGCATTAGCTGATGAACATTATGCTTTATTATTATTATTATTATTATTATTATTACCTTTAAATCAGATTTTATAATTATGTTCACAGTTCCCACAGTGATATTTAAAGATTTTGCAATAGCTCTTTGGGGAGCCAGATTTTCCTTTAAAACATGAGACACAACTTTAGATTTAATAAGAGCTGCATGTGAATTTGTTGGGTATGCATTTTTTGCCTTTTTCCCAGTCAGATATAAACTTTGATGTTTCTTTCTTTTCATATTAATTATGTCACTTATTTTACGTGTGGAAATATTAAAACCATGCTTTTCACTTCTTTTTTTTAAGAATTGAATAACAGTATTTCTCTTTGGACAGTGCAAAAATATAGCCTTCGATCCATTGTTTATTTTTCAGTGACATTTTAAAGAAAAGAATATTTGAATGCTACAAACGGTAATTAAACCTTCTTTCAATATGATGCCAGTCACATTTGTATTTTAAAATTAATATTTAAATTCATGGAGAAAACAAAATCATTACAAAAATGTGTAAACGCTCTCTGTAGAATGTATACATAATGATAGTGGATGAAAGGACTTTGTTGCATCAATGAGAGGGATCTAGAGCACATAAGCTATATTTAAATAGGAAGACACACGCTTGGCATATATGATAGTGATGGATTATATTGTAGTACAACATGAAAGAGTGTGACATATCAGGCAATGTCTGCTAGCACTGTTTGCTGGTAGTTGCTGCAGCAAAGATTCATAGTTAGATGTCTATTATTGTTATTTCTTTTGATGCTGTTCTAGATATTTTAGCAACTCCAGTAGTGCAAACAGCAAATAACCTTGGAATGCTGAGTAGGTACAGATCATCTCTTCTAAGTGTGTTAGTACAGTTTTTGGATCTGTAAAAGTTGGTTCTTTTTCATTGCTATAAGGGAGAGCAACATCTGGAAAGTTGCATTGCAAAGCATCATGGTGACATGAGTGTCATGATTGGAGATTTTCATTTTGTTCGCACTCTCACCTTCTACAAGCAGGAATCCTATTAATAGGTAGTTATGCCAGTGAGATCTTAGAACCAGAAGTTTTATTCTCCTATAAAACTGCTTGGTCTTAATTTTTAAAAGGACAATGCTAATATGCATACTGGATGCAGCATTCAATGTTGTATCAAGTATCAGCTTTTCTTTGACTTACACTGTTGCTCAGCTCTGATCACGATCTTTGTTGTAACTCATATCCTTGTGTGATCCATCATGATCTTGGTTGTAACTAATATTGTTGTGTAATTTCACTGAACAGCAGTGTATGTTCTGAGTAATTGAAGTTGAATGATTAAAAATAGCATTAATTTCAGGTTCAGATGTAATGTCTGAACAATTAATTAAAATATTCATTGCTGTAATAAAATTGCCATTTTAATAAAAAGAATGAAAATATGTATTTATAATTGCATATTCTTATCACTGGTTTTAATTTCAAGTATAAAGATTCATTGCATTTGAAACAAATTTCATTTGAGCTTTCATTTGACAGCACCTGTTTTGCTGATTATATCAAACTAAAAGTATTTAGTTATTATTTGGGGAAAAAACTGATTGTTTTAAATTTCTTTCAGATATCGATAGCAAAAGTAAAAGAAGATTTGAGTAAAATTAAGCATCATCAAGATCAATTAAAAGCCATAGAATCACGGGACCGCAATCTTCAGGAGCACAATTTCACCAGAGTGAATCAGTTTTCAATGTTAATAATAGTTGTGATGATTGTTGTTGGAACTGTTCAAGTTTTCATGGTCAGAAGTCTCTTCGAAGAAAAAAGCAAGCTTCATAAAATTTTCAAACTTTTGTCCTGATGAATTAGATTTGCAGTCAATAGTTTAAAAGTTTTTTTTAAATAGGTTTGTGCTTTTTCTCTTCCTTGAATACTATTGTAAATTTGTTTAAAATTTCTTTGACCTTCTATGGTATATCAATCAGTAACAATGGCTGAATATCTCCTATTGCTGGCCAGTAACTGTTATAATTAATGAAACTGTAAGATAATGAATATTTATGTTTGCCATATATATATTTAATATGGATTGAAACTAGAAGAATGGGTACTTACGAATTAACGCAACCTCCTTTGCACAGCTTTTTGTGGATGAAAAGGTAAAAGTTACTTATCAAATAGAAGTTGGTGGTTTTCATACCCCCTTTTTTTTTTAAAGTCCAAAGGGGCTTTGTCCCTGAAGGACTATTGTTTTCGTTTTGCGATTTTGCGTCGGACTCATAAACATCGGTTCACTTTTCAAACTGTTGCCACAAAATGTTAGAGTCCTGCATTATATTTGAAGAAATTAAATAATGAAAAATCTGCATAAATGATTGTCTATTTCTCGCATTGTGATAAAACAATGGTACATAGAGCCATCGAATTTTGAATAACGAAATCCTACTGCGAATATGGGCATCTGAAATCCCAAATTTGGAATTTGTTTTATTATAGATTTTATATTTTGTAAAACTTTAACGAATTTTTGATTTACAAACTCAATGCTCTAAAAGCGAGAAATGGCAATGTTATATAGAAAAAAAAATACTTTTATCTCCAGCTCGCGAGACTGTGTATATCGGAAATTCTAAAGATATGCTTAATTTAACATTATTTTGCGATATTGCTCTTGAACTGAATTTTATGGTTTAAGTGCAAAGAACATGATATTTAATAAATAAAGGTAACACTCAAAACGTTAAAAAAACGCCCCTTTGGACGTAATTTAAAATCTGAAACATTTCAGTTTTTTTTTTTTTTTTTTTTTTTTTTTTAAGAAAGACTTTCAAACTATTGATATTTATCTTAAGTTTATAAACATTATCAACAAATGAAAAGAAAACAATACTTTAATAATATAAAATACACGTTTGAATTATTAAATAAGGATTATGTGATACATTAACAAAAACAAAACACTTATGTTCTTCAAATCTTTCTGTAATTTTTGTAATCTTCTCCCAAATAATTAATTTCTGTAATCTTCTCCCAAAGTGCACAACAATCTATTTTCACTGAGAAAAACATCAGAGATTTATAAAGACTCAGCTTCATGCAAACAGCGGCTATCTAAGAAACACATTTCCTCATTTTTTCATTTAAAAAAATTAAACCAAAGTTGTGTATGCCTGTAAAAACTTTAATGTTGTTTCTTCTGTTGCTAGCAAATTCCACAAGCTCATATTTAAAACTTAAAAAAAAAAATGTTTTAAAAAGCACACTTTTTAAGAAGATCTAATTTGGCTATGTTAATTTTTCTACAGAATACTTACAATTTTGTAGTAATATTATGCTATTTTTCTAACAAGGTTATATTATTATTTTTATAGCTATATTACAGTTATGATAATAGAGAAAAATTACTGTATTATATTTTCATGTTCTAGTTAACATGTGACTGCAATTTTATTTTGCTGTGCATTACTTTAGTCATTCTAATTTAATTTAATAAATTAATTTATCAGAAAGCATAAAAATTTGATAATGGAACTATTTTAATATATATTTGTTAATGAATAAAATAGTTGATTGGTTTGTTTGATTATAAATAATCTAGTGCTAATAATTAGAGAATGTAATATTAATAATTTTTAGTCTTTTTCTAAGATTAAAGCAAGCAAATGAATTCATTTTTGAAGGAACATCCTTATATGAAGGAATTTGTTTGTGCTGTAAATAGCTTAGCATCCATTAAATAAATATTCTGATGAGAATAAGTGTTTTCAGTTCTTACTACTGCCATATTTTATGTAATTGTGTTGATATTTTTCATTCTGATATCTCCTACACAGAAATTTGTGATGGACATTTATTCAATTCACATCTCATAAGTTTTGTACATGTGCTTCAAAATTTTTCATGTATTTATGTAGTATCTTTATACTACTGAAGTATAATTGTGTCTTCAATATAGGAATCTGCATAAGAACTTCATGCTATCTTACATCTTTTACATTTAAGACAATAATACATCTTTTACATTTAAGACAATAGCAAGCATAAATCATTATTTATGCATGACAGCAGGAATTACTGTATCATTCAGTTAAAGATAGGCATTTTCCACTTTTCCTGTGATTAAGCGTTTGATAGAAATGTATATATGAGTGCACATATTTTCATGCAATTTGTAGAAATGATTATGTATTTAATATTTATGTACTACTTCTTTTCTTCAAATTTCTTTTAAAAATTAATTATGGTTATAATTATAACATAAATAAATCATATCACCTTGCCTGTATATATGAAATAATTTTTAAAAAATGTACTTATATTATTATATTTCAGAGTGTTTCTTAGATACAAGTGGTAAGAAATTTATTGAGGCATAAAAGAAAATTTTAAAGAGTTATTGTAGTGAAACATATTGAAAGTAGTGGTTAAAAGTATGAAAATTGTTTAAATATTATATTAATTTCAAATTAAAAATTTAATTTTTATTTTTGTAAAATTTTAAAATTTAGGTTTTTCAAATGTGTTTCAAAACCTGAGTTTTTGCCTCAAGTTTCCTAAATTAAATATTATCTTTTGATATTAGAACTGTTACTTAAGAAAAAGAAATTCTTTTTGAAATTGTTATTATTATTATTATTTGAATATTTTTGGTTACTACTTTTAAAATACTGAAAAAATCTTTTGTTATAAATTGGCAGTTCAGTAAGGCTGAAAATTTAATAATTCAGTTATTTATAATATATGCAGATTTACATAAAATTCAGCCTTCATAAGATTATAGTTACATGAACCAGGAGTTTGAGAGAAAAGTTTTACATATTTTGGAAAAATTAATTTGTGCTTATTTTAGTTTAAAATAAATATCTTTATATTTGCATATGCTTAAATAAAAAGCTGTAAAAGTCATCATATTTTTGTAGAAATTTGTGTGTGAGCACATTTTTTCAGGCCGCTGTTTTGTCTGTATTTTTTACATTTTAGCTTTATGAGAAGGAGGTTTTAAATATTCTTGGCTTGTATAATGTTTTGTACATGTAAATGAACATTTTCATTCACAAATAGCTATGATATTTTATTCAATGATCTGAATCATATGCTTTCGAACAATTATTTTTTGTCATTGATGAATTAAAAATTTGATGTTCATTTTTTAATACAGTACAAAGTCTTTAATCCGGACTCGTCGGGACTTCGACGATTCCAGACTAGGGTTTTTTCTGGATTATAGATCATCAATTTAAATCTGGTAAGATGGCATGCAGAAATTATAAAATTAAAAATATGAAAACGTCATTTATGAAATAAAGAGCAATTATGATCTAAAGGATATCAAAATTTACAAAAAAAAAGTTTATTTGTTTACTTTATTAAACATTTCTTTCAATGTAAGGTGTTTAAATTGCTTCGCTTTTTGGGCTAATACTTTCTATTTAATTTTATAAACAGACATAATTTCTTGTTCATTTCCACTGTTCAAGTCCTGTAATTGCTGTGTCGAGAATACCGACTAACTTGTGAATTGAAATTTTTTCGTTTTCAATAACATCTCTGTCACTTTCTTCACTATCAGAAGCGGTACATCGAAACATGCTTTTCCTTCGTAGATCCTTTGACAGCTCCAGAATCGGAAACTGTTTGTGACATAATCGAAAGTTCAAGCTTACTTTTTATAAAATTGCTCTAACAGCCTGCAAAAAATAAATAAGCCGGATCCAATAAGAAGATTAAGGAACAACGCAATCTGCAACATTAACTGAAATAGATTATTAGATAATTTTGGCCTAGCTTATACTGTCGATTATACATTAAACGCGCATGCGTAAACACATATGCATATGCATAAAGGTATTATGCACATGTGTAAATGCATTATGCGTTTACATATGCGCAGAAAGTTTGTAGCTTTGAGGTCCGAATTATAGACCATTCCGGATTATGGACGTCCAGATTAAATACTTTGTACTGTAGTTACTTTCACCTTGCATTAGTTTTATTTGTCCCATTTATTATTATATTAAATTGAGCATTATATATACATTTACTCTGCAGAAACTTTGGCTTCCTAAAATATTTCATATGAGCATATTATGCTGTTCATATGTAAGTATGTTCTTGTGCCAAAAAAAGTGCCTTATGTATCGTCAAATCTCTTAGTGTTGGTTTTATTTTAGTGTGAAAATAAAATGTCTGATCAAAAAGTTCTGCTACTTTGTTTTAAGAAAAAGAAAATATTTACAAAATGTTTGTAACTTTTGTCCTGTATAGTGTAGTTGAATTCACTTAAAGGACTGTAAAAGATACAAATAGTTTCCCCCATCTCATTTTGTTAATAATTTCTTTTAAAATGCATTTGAAGAACTGGAAATATATAAATAATTAAAACTTTTTTTTCCTTGTCTTTGTCTCAGTTAACTGTACTCTTTCCATTTTAGAAATTTTTTAAATAGGTTTCTGAAACAAAGGCTTAAATGGGCCTTGCATTCTTTTAATAATTAAATTGATTCATTTCAAAAGATTAGAAAAGAGTCATTTTATAGTATTGATTGTTATTCTTATTAATTTATAATTCATGATGATTGATGTATTTCCTAAGTAATTAAGTAATTGCTAAAGCAGTTGTGATATTTGTAATTTCAATGTAGAGACTGAAGCAATTTTTTTAATGCTAGACTATCTTGTGAAAAAATGAAATTTGACTATGGATTGCAGATTATATGGTAGTCAGATTAATTTTTCATTAAATCATTAATTTTTTTAAATGTTAAGTAAAAATAAATTTTTAAATTAAAAATTAGAGAAAAGTCCAAGCAATATCAAACAAATGTAATACTTTTTAGTACTTTGTATAGTTTGAATAGTAAAATTTTATAAATCTTTTGGTTGAAAATTATTTAATTTTTAACTGATGATTTTTGATATGTCAGAAAACTTCATAAGATGTTCTCCTATAATTTGCAATGCTCATGGGATGGACGATATAAGCGTTTAATAATATAACCTTATGAATAAAAAATCATGTTTTCATATATATCATAAGTATCTAGTTGCATTCAAACATTTTATTTAAGAAAAAACTTTTGGAAAATGAACAAAATGCAATAGAAATGAATGTTAAATGCATTACAATATTTTGAAGAAATAATATAGTGTTATTCAGAAATTCCCAAACTCTTTCTGTAAGTGCTATTTATTGTAAGAGTGGAGAATATATTTGAATGCTTCTATTCAGTGCAAAAATATTTTGAAGCCACAAGTGGAATATAGTGAATGTGGGATGGTAAGGACAACCAATAATTACACTATGTGTCTCATATAAGAACTGA